AATGATCTCCTGCATGTTTCTCTTTGAATCTGTGAGTGTGTGTTTATGTCCTTCATTCTACCTCCCCCTCTAACATTAGTACCTAGTGGGCAAATGACAGCTTTATAAATATGCAGTATCAATTAGAGTTTTATATTCCATAATACTTCAGGTAAAAAAGCGTATACACAGGGACTTAGTTTCTTGAGGGGGGATTAAAAACAAATTAGATCCATATACTTTTGATATATGTGGCACTTATCAAGGAAAAAGTTCATCACCTTTATTCCAGACATGTTTTTGAAGAAACAGCACTTAGCTTGGTTTCCAGAAATTCTGACGTAGTTACAAGAGGTCTATGCAGAAATTAACTCATAAAAATGAACAAGTTCCTGAGTTCTAACTGCTTGCATTGTAAGAAATAGTTTATTCACACGTTTACGTAAGGGAAGACATAGAAAGCATAAGGCTTTTCTCTATGAAAGTCAGCTCTGCACTGAGGCCACATTATCTCAACAAATATGCATTTGGAAACATAAAAATCATCACCACCCAACTCTAAGATTTTGTTCTGGCCCATAATAAAATGCCTGAATATCAAAGTAAGTCAGGAAAGTTTTCTTGATTGACACTTTTGCTATTTTTCTCTTTTAAACCTAAGGATCAGAATATTTTTTTCCAATTCCTTACCCCTCTCCTGTTCTCAAATCCCAGGAATCGTATTATAATTGCATTTAATACATAAATAAATCATAAAATACTTTGGATTTTATAATTTTCCCTTTTAGTATTTACCGAAGAAGCCCAAATGCATTCCATATTGAAAAACAATGGAATGAACTGCACGTGAAAATTGATCCTCCTAAAAAAATCTAGGTTAAATAAAAAGCTAAAAGTCAAAACGCAAGTCGGATAAATCCAATTACATGTTTCTCACGGGGCACACCAAGTCCATAGTTCCATTTGCTGAACATCCCCACAATGGCAAGAATCAGATAAGCAGTGAAAGGCAAGCTTTTTATAGAAAATTAAGTAAAACCTTCACAAATTATTTTAGCTATAGAGACAGTCAGGATTTCAGAAATAACTACATTTACACAAAAGCCTCAACAATTGAGATTTTGTTATATGTCACATTTGATAAAGCAGAAATGGGACTGGCTAACCTTTTTGTAAAATGGAACTGGTACTTAGAATCTGTAAATCAGAATTTGTTTAATTATGCAATCAGATATTCAAAGGACTGATGAGACAACTTTACAAAATAAATCCTGATAGAAATAGATAGAGTGTTTGTAAATAATTCTCCCGTAAGCTTTCAAGCAGCTTTTATGAATGCATACTTCCAACCAGCAGTTAGAAAAGAACTTTTAATAAATGTATTAAGTGGCTTTTCAAAATGAGTGAGGTTGTACTGTACTTGGAGAACTTTCTGAAAGACTGCAAGGTTTGGCTGGGCCGGAACTCACTGCCCTGTGACCCCCCGGTTCCGAAGGACAGCGGTGAGGACAGGTGTCTTACATTCTGCAAGTTGTACTGCAGCTGCTGCTTATACGGCGCAAATTCCTGGGCGAGTTCATATCCCTCGTGGTAAAAAGTGAATAGACCCTGAAGGAAAGACAAAAGCTGCAAAAACAGAGAGAGAAAAAGAAACCATGACAACGTGTTTTTCAAAAAAGATCTTCATCAAATGTAATAGTGAGAGAAATTACACAGCATTCGAATCCCTCAAGCTAATAAATTTTGAATCGCCTTAGCCAAGTAGGCACCAGAATCATGCACATGAAACAGAAGCCGCGGAAGCTCATTTTTACTTTCTTATTGGTAGACAGTGATTTAATTTTTAAGTCCTGTCATGGACGGTTGTCATGTTAACGACTCTAATATTCAAACGCCTTGACAAAACATCCAGGAGAGAAAATTAATGGGGAAAAAGATGAAGGTAATGCAGATCCTACCCTAGAAGAGCTTCTAATCAAAACAGGGTAATAAAACATGCGCAGAAGTGGGAAGACTAAACCGGCAAATTAGAAATAAGAAGTACCCAAGGGAAGGAATAAGGATTTGGTCAGATGAAATTAAGGGAAACATCACAAGGTGGCAGTGCTGATTCGGGTATTAAACTGACAACATTTTAGTAAGTAGTGGGGAGAACTCAAAAGGGAGGGAAAAGGTAAACAAAAACCTGGAGCTAGACACAGATTTTTCTTGCAAGAGTTAAGAATAAAATCTTTTTTAGGAAAGCACAATTTCTATGACCCCAGCTTTCTAATCCAAAATTCATATGCAATTATTTATGATCTTATTTGCAATGTGAGAACAGCTCTCCATGGAGTTACAGAACACAGTTGTTTATATGAAATAAACTATAACTGGAAAATAATGTTTAATTTTTTTCATCTAATTCACTGGGATTTTATTCCACAGACATGTCCACCAATTCAATATCTTTCGCAACTTCTTCCTATAATAAAGTTAGAAAATATTTTTGAGACACGGCTAATGTCTAATTCAAAAAACAAAGTATGTCTGTAAACTATTATTTTAAAGTTAAGGAAAAAACACAATTTGAAACCATTTTCATATGTGAATAGCATCCCGTCATTTCCTGTGTCTGGGGAAAGAAGAGGGTTCAGCTAAGGACCAATTGGTATGTGTGGTATAATTTCCAACAGATAAATACTGGTTCTACCTGAAAACAATGACCTAATGCTTTTCTTCCTAGAGTAAGTCAACTTCTTGCAAAACAATGTTCATTTCGGGAAGCACACACTTTCAAATTGGTTTTCAGCTGTTATATTCTAAAGAATTTCCTTCTCTTGTTCAGCCGGTCCTGATAATGTGCCCAAATGTACTGCTCACAAATTTTAGAATGATTTTACACTGTCAATTTTATATCAACTGATGATTATTATCAAAACTAGTCAATAGCTTACACTTTACTAAACGGATGCTGCATTTGTTAAATCATCCAAGAATTTAGGATACGCAGTCTGCATATATTGTGGCCCAATTAAAAAGAACTGTATCTTAAAACAGGATTAAAAATACCATGAATTAACTGAGGCTTGGATATGTAGATTTGGAGGATTCTAGGGACAAAATAAGAAAACACTTTTGAAGGATTTAAGCAACAGTAGCCTTCTACACATCTGAAGAATAGTTTATGAAGCCGTTAGGAAGAGTATTGTTTCATGTTTTAATGTCTATAATTATTCCACAATTAAACTGTCTCTCATTAGGAACTGGATGTCATAAAAGAAAGATGCTAATATCATGCTAAGTACAATAAATTTAACTTATAAAGAAGACACTTTAAGAACATCTGTAATAAATATTCCTATAAAACACCCGATTCCCTGAGATGCATCTCCTATTGGCAACTTCTAGCAGAATTCACATTTGTTTAGTAGCAAATAAGTAGGTTTTAATCTCACACTGCAGGCTGGGCACCACCAGGGAAGTACAATTCTTTGGGAAGTACAAAATACTACATATAAACAAGCACCACCTTTAGCTTTTGTTCCGTATCTACTTCAGAAGCGGCATTTGGGAAAGTTTAATGGAAGATAGCACTATGAAATAACTGCCTCTAGATGGCAGCAACGTTAAACGTTTCTAGTCCATTTTCCCCTCAACAAATACACGATGCTCAATCAAGGGAACATAATTTTCAAGCCTTAACTTTCAAGCCTGAAAATCTTTTAAGAACTGCATTTCCCCCGTGCCATTTTCTTTGCTCAATCTGTCTGAGTGGGTGGAGTGGTGGGGAAAAGACTACTGTCTCGGCTTACCTTCGAGTAAACCTGACTTTTAAAATAATAATAACAATAACTACACACTACTGGATAGATTAGGTTTTATTAGTAAGAAAGTCACTTTTATCATCAGGAAAAACTCATACAGCAGTTTATTATTCCCAAGGGTCTTAGAATCTCAAATGACTTTGCCACTCCGACAACCTGACCAAATGTAAAAATTGACACCACACTTACACAGATAAATAATCATTTAGCAAAACCCATTACAAGTCAGCAGAGGGACAACTATTCATAATTTCCCAGCCCACTGATCACCAGGTTTCAAGCCTTCAGGGCCCACAGTGACCAGGGATACTGTGAAGGGCAGAGAAGAGTGAAAAGGGGGTTTAGGGGTAGCAGGGGGTGAGGGGAAGAACTCCAGAGCAATCTGGAGCAAGTCCAGTGATTCCAGATGACCACTGCCCAACCTGAGCAGAACAACTGGGGCAATCAGCACAGCGGGACCCTGGCTCAAGGATAAACCTATGAATCGGCGGAAGGGAGCTGAGAGTCTAGAAATAAATCATGCATCTATAAATAAGTTTATTTTCAACAAGGGTGCCGAGTCATAGGTAAAGAACAGCCTTTTCAGCAAATGATTCTTGGACCACTGGATAGCCATGTGAGAGATGGAGCTGGACACCAACTTCCCCACAGACAGAAACCAGCTAAAACTGCATAAACTGAATGGTACGTGCATTACATCCCCAAAAGCCTATTTAAAAATGAAAACAAAAACTTCCCACACACAGAGCATCATAATGCACGAAAAAAGGTCAAAGTCCTATGTAGACATCTACATTTGGCCACTGAAATTTCTAAGAAGACTGGAGATGTGGGCTAAAGGCACGCATCAGTTTTCAGTCTGTACAGGCAGCCAGACCACACCCTGTAGTCTGCGCTCCCTTCAGTGGAGGAAGCAGGGAGAAACGCCTCAGAGGGGAGCCTCGGGACGGCCACGAGTGCTTTCAGTCTGATGCCTAGAGGTTCAGAGTTTATTGAATGGGAATGGAAAAGTATCAAAATCTAACCCAATAAATGAGAAAACCGAGGAAAGGAGACAGCCAAGGATGGAGAGTGGCCAGTCAACTGCTGCCTGGGGGGACAACTTTTAAAAGAGGATGCTGAACGAAGGATGGATGAATGAACAGAGAAGAACACAGAGTCAACTAATGTAAAAAGCCAAAGCTTTTGAAGCCTGGCTATTAACTGCATCAGCAGTGAAGACTCCTCAGAGTTCCTGAAGGTGGATTTCTAAGATTTCCAGGGGATGGAATTCAGACAAAGTGGCCAGAGGTACACTTCTGTGGTAAATGACAAGGCAATGAGGAATGGTCAGCTTGTCCCTTCAACTAAAATGGGAATGAAGAGGGTCACGTGGCCACCGAGGTGCTGAAGTTCAGCAGATGCTACCTTTAGCCCAGGTCTTGACGTGACGCGTTTCTAAGGTGAAGTGTGGGGGGACGAGGCAGCCAACACAAAACACATTCTTCTTACTTGTCCACGATTCTACTCCTCATCTAACTGCTGCTGCAAGGTTCAGATTCTCAACAGCAGTATCTCAAACTAAATCCAAAGACCAACATAGTTTTTATTTAAAAATATGCAACCTGAGCAGAGCTTCACTGTTTCATTTTTATAGAATGATTGCACTTTGGTTTTCAGCAGGATAGAAAGTTAACCTTTAGTAATACATTTAAAAAAAAATGACATGGTCTTATTTTCCCACTTGAATTTACCCTAAATTAAATTTTCTATATTAAAGCTAACCAACAAAATTGAGAAAGAGCACAAAAAGGTTTAACTGTCAAGACCTGAAGGACTATACACTGCCTGAGCGACTTTTTTAACTTAGTAAGTAGCTGTTGTTCAGTCTTGAAATTATTCAAACTGCTTTGGAGAACACAAAAAGCTCTTTACAGTGTCCTTCATTATACAGTAAGCTAAAGAGCTACAGCATGTTAACTAAATTACCTCAAATTTTCTTCTGAAAATGATTAAAAATTAAACTTAGCATACTAAGAGAACGGTATGAAAAGCAGTGTGCTTTAAGTTTATATGTAATAGTGTATTTTCATTTTTATATTAATTGTAAATACAACACAAGAAGATTAAAATATGAAAAATGTAATACTCTAATATAAAAATGTTCCTAGAGAATTTAAGTGTATATTTTGAAGCATGTTAAAACTGAAAATGTGTTTTTGAAAACGCTAGTGTCTGGCTTTGAAGCCATACTAATAAACGTCATATCTAGTGCTAACAGCCCACGTGAGAGCTCACACTAGCTGGTGCCCAGCTGATGCTAATGACAAACCAGGCACTTTCTTTGTGCATCACCTGCATGGGCTGAGCCTCACCAGGATCCTGGGAACTGCATACAATTTTTAGACCCAACTGACAGATAAAAATCTGAAGCACACAGAATTTGAAAAGCAGGCCAAATCTACACAGCTTTAAGACTGGAGCCAGAATCCATCTTATTGCCACTCAGCCATTACACTTCTGTCTCTACCTGGGAAGACAGGAAGAGAAAGATGGATGGGAGAGCAGATGAATGGACAGATAAGTGCACTGACCTGATTACCTTTACCCAGGTAGAGGTCACTCTCTTATTTTCTACTTCTAATTTTAAAGAATTAAAACTTGCTAGGGTCATCCATTTTATTTGGTCAGAGCAAGTATTAAGAAGAATGAATTTTGTAAGCCAGCAGTCATCAAGGCAGTAGGTGGTATGAAACAGCGACTTCAGACCCGGGTTCTGGATTCCTGACTCTCCCCCTCCTTAGGTTTGTGACCTCAGGCAACTAATAATCTATCTGTGACTTAAGGTCCTCATCTGGAAGGGTCATAACTACCAGTAATAAAGCCGTGGTAGGGTTCACGTGGGAGAACACAGAAAACACGGGACACATCGCAGCTGCTCGCAAAACAGTAGTTCCAACTAAGCATGTTCAAAGGATGTCATCAAAATGTACACAAAGTGTACCTGAATGAACCATAAGGGAGTGAACGCATAAAAAAGATTCTTTTGGTTTTTGGAGCCACAAACTTTCATGTACCATAACTGACTTCTGACACACTGGGGCTCAAATCTGAGGAAGCCGTTCATGCTCAGCTACTTCTCAAACTTTTTCTCCCAGTCCCTCAAAATTCTCATAAGCTCCGGGCAACTCTGAGAGGTAAGAGGATCTCACAGTCAAGAGTCAGGAGATACCGTTTCTGCCTCTCTGATCTCTTTTTCCCATTACAGACCTGAACTCCCGTATTTTGTTGGCAAATCTGAAAGGATGCAAGCTAGCACTGCCGGACAGAAACACACCGTGAACCACAAATGCAAACCAACGTGGAATTTTAAACCTTCTAGTAGTCACATGGGAAAAAAAGTAAGCCAAGTGAAATTTAACATTTTATTTGACATAATATATTCAAAAGATTATCATTTCAACATGTAATCAACATAAAAGAGGTTTTAATGAGATATTTCACATGCTTTTTTTGGGTACGAAATCTCTGCAATCTGGTACATATTCACACTTACAATACATCTGAATCTAAACTTGTCTCTTCTGAAGGGTTTGACAGTCACACACAAGTAGCTGCTACCACTGTCTATGTAGAATGTGATTAACAGGGGGAAAAGGCCATTAAAATCATAGCGAATGGAGAAAGGGGTCTTAGAAGGCTGGCTTTCTGTATATTCTAAATAATAATAACAGTATTTATAAAAAAAATCCTCTCTTTTTCCATGTATTAGACCCAGCTTCTCCTTGAATAATGACACTGTAAGAACATTTATTCCTAATACCACCTGAATATTCTGCAGAAGTTTTATCACAAGTACAGGTGACCCTTGAACAACTCAGGAGTTAAGAACGCCAACGCCTACACACACAAACACACACACACACACACACACACACCCCCATTGAAACTTGACAGCTTTACCGTCCAGCCTTGGTATCCGAGGTTCTGCATTTACGGATTCAATCTACCAGCGGACTTAGTATTTACTGAAAAACATCCACATGTAAATGGGACCCACACAGTTCAAATCCGTGTTGTTCAAAGATCAACTGTAGCAGGATCTTGACATTGACTGAAACAATGTAAAATTACCTCAAATGATCATCATAAAGAATGTCATTTACTGGGAATCTCCAGGACTACTTATATTTTCTACTTGATACCTTACCATCCGTATGAGATGAGTCGCACCCCTAAAATATTTTGCTTTACCCCAATGCTTCCTTGTTAAATAAATCTCGGCTAAACCAGAACAGACTGCTCCATTTCTGCAATACGGAACAGGAATGCGACAAGAATTGGATTTCTGCAGGAAAAAAACTGGAAAGATACTAAAAAATCCTCATGTGTTTTTATGTTTATGGCTCCTGGGAGCTTTGGTTTTCAAATTTTAAAAGCTTTTTTCCTCCAAATTAATTTGTAAGCGCTTAACCTACAGAGCAGCATGCCCGTGTTTCATTGCTCCCATTTCTACCCTTCTCATCACTGGGGTGGAAGTTAAGTAAAACCGCACGGATGAGACTTTGCGGCTGGAAATGAGAACGAGACTAAACTGACAGTGCTATTTGGTTTGGCCAGACGCTCTAATAGGAAAAATGCAGCAGCCAGGAAAATATTTTGGAAGAAGGACAAATTTAACATCGACCTTGATCGTGGTGTCACCAGAAAGGCATGTATTAGAGAAGATTTATCAGACCATCCCAGTTTGGGAGACGGTAGAGGGAAGGAAGAAAATACACTTCAAGTGAAGGGCAGTTTTCACTTTTCTACCCATATTATCACAGGAATTCATAAATTCTTATCATTCCTTCTGTCACCTGTGAGCCAACAGTTTTACAGCCTTTTCCTTACATACCTGATGCCATCTTACAGAACGGTCTAGTGCTCTGTTCCCAGACGGGATGGGCTATAAACAAGGCTTAGATGGGGAAACAGGCTGCCCGCACACCTCCCCAGGTGAGAGAGAGGTGCCACAGGTGCGCCACGACCATCCCGGGTGCGAGGAAGAGCTGCCCGGCAGGTGAGCACAGCCTCTGAAGGGAAGGGGAACGGATAAGGAAGTCGTATGAAGGAAAACCATCCGAGTTGGTGGCGATGGATACTGTGACCAAGAGCGAAAAGCCAGAAATCCCAGGGGGCGGGCTGTAAGGAGAAAGCTTGCCGCACGGACAGAGGCCTGAAAGCCACGACAGGAGTCAGAGGCAGGACTTTCCCCACGAGCAGGGAAGTAGGGGTTTTAAGTCTCAGTCATCTTCCTTGACGAGGGGTTGCTGGGCTGAGCTGGGGTCCATGAACCCCAGATGAGTTTCAGAAAGGCCCCTAAGAAAGCATCAGCTAAATAAGAGGTTATCAACTCATCTTTAGGGGTTGAAGGACTTCGCTGTTTGGCAAACAGAGCCCTGAGTCAAGACTGTCATCTCGAACAGAGGGTACAAGATCCCTGAGCCTGCGGTGTGGCCTCCAGCTCCTTAAATCCTTCTAGCTGGAGGGCTCAGCCTAGAAGCTTGCCAAGTGCCCAGGAGAGAGTCAGGTGGCTCCAGCGAGAGGGAAAGGAGCCAAGCAGAGGGGCCGCGGGCCAGGCAGGGGCTGGCAGCTCTTCCCAGCCTCGGCTCTGTCTCAGTCTCCCGTCATCTTCAGGGAACCGCTGATGGGCTTTCATCAGGAGATGACATGTTCAAATGTATTTTAAAATGTATCTTCCCTTCTCCCCATCACCTCCACTAAATAGGAATAGGGTATTTTATTTCCCATTATAAATAGATTCTTAATAAACTGGCATAGGAAGAACAGTATGGCTTGAGTGGTATATTTGATTACTCGTGTGTTTTACTGTCGCTTACCCTGTCACCGCATGGGAAGTCAGCATCACAGGTGAACAAGGCTGTCCTGACTACGGACTTGCCCTTGCTCATCACAGAGGATACCTCACGGAGATGCCCAGTCGGGCAAACCTGTAACATCTTAGGGTAGCACTCGGGGAAAAAAATGCTAAGAAAATGAAGTAAGCTTATAAAGACCAGCCAACCACCTGTTCTTTTCTGTAATGCAGTTTACATTAGGGAATCCATAACTTTTCACCCTGACTTGGGAAAATAAATGACTTCATTGGAAAGTCGGGCAAGTCCCAGCCTCACAAGGAAGCGGGGTGGAACAATGGAAGAAATGCAGCCTTAGCCTTTCTTCCTTCAACTAAAGGTTTGGTAAATGAATCACCTTAGTGGTGAGGTGTAGCCCCTTAGGTGTATGTAATAAACACTCTTTTATTTTTAAATTTAGGTTTTTTAATCAATAGGCTATTTTTCAGAGCAGTTTTAGGTTTACAGAAGAACTGAGCAGAAATGATAGCGTCCACACACAGCCCCTTCGCTCCTACCCCTACAGTTTCCCATTAACTAACATCTTGCGTTAGTGTGATACTGTTGTTACAAATGATAACTCGATATTGACACATCATTAAAATTCAGTTAGATTAGCGTTTAACTCCTGGAGCTGCACATTCTATGGGTTTTGACAAATGTGTAAGGACAATGACGTGTAGCCACCACTAGTTTCACTGCCCTGAAGTGATCTGTGCTCCACCTACTCACCCTCCCCCACCCCTCTCTCCTTTTATTTTTAAAAAAAATCATAATTTTCAACAGAAAAACACTGCAAATTTTGCTCCACAAGATGTACTGTAACCTACTAATTTTATAGGCAAAATAAATCTTACCGGTTCAACAAATTCAAACTTCTTTTTTTCCTGAACCTCTTGAATTTTGAAGACATATTCGAGCGATGCTTCGTAGAAGTTTTGATGCTCTCGGTCAATCTGCGTATCTGCCTAAAAGGCACAAAAAGGCAAATCAGGACACAAGGAGTGATTATTGAAGCTTCTGTGTTAGAGAGGGACTCAAATTCTGTTCTACTCTGAAATCTTTTCAAAAAATGAAGTTCTACGAGAAAGGTTAACTATAGCAATTATTATGTCTTGGGAATACAGGGACTAGGAAAACACAGACTCTGCCCACAAGAGCTTATTATGTACGGAGTGGGAAGAAGACACACACACACACACACACACACACATAGTAAGCATACAACACTCATTACATTAAAAATTATTATAAAAAGGGTCTATACGTATATATGAAAATCTATGGGATCACAGAAAAAGAGACTAAATTCTGGGGAAGTTGAACCTTAAGATGAATAACTGGCCATGTATGGTCAAAGATAAGAAAGGAGTCACTCCCATGAAAAAGAGGCATGAAAGAGTGACAGAGTCTGGCTTCAGAGTAAGTAAGTGGAGGTTAAGGAGAGAGAAGCAAGGTTGGAATCACATTATCAAAGATCTCGAAAACTGAGTTAATGCTTAGATTCTAACTGAGGGAGAATCATCTGAGAATATTAAGCAGTGGAGCCACAGCATAAGGTGGCTTACAACACTACTGGTACCAGAGCCGCCTGAATCCAAAGGTTCTAACCACGGAATCCTGCTCCATCAACGCCAGGCGCGCTCTCGTCCCTCCTCCCTGCCCACCATCGCCCTCGGATGCTGTCTTTAAAGCTGATTTTGGTTCAGAGCAGGGAGACATGATTTTACTTTTTTCGTCCAGCGTCACACTCCTCACTGCCAGCTGAGATTACTAAAAGCAGATGAAAAGAATGGGCTCTCCAGAATACTAAGTATATGCCAACAACAATTTGGGAACAGAACACTGCTTTGCAGCCATTTTACAATGATAATTTAACAAACAAAAGCTTAAAAAAAAAAGATAAAATGAGGTTTGCTGGGGGGGTTGGACTTCACAGCATCGTAAAACTTCATTTGAAAGAAAGACCTTTAAAAATAATTACATATACTTACGACTTACTATGCAATTATTTACACAATTTAAAATAGCCCAATATTATGAGCAACTCACGAGGGATTTTCAAACTTGAGAATTCCAAGTTTCTAAACTAATATATGAGAAGCACATTTAAATTGGACCAGGTAGGAAATTCGGACCAGAAGTTTCTCAGCACCCACAGTCAGCATTCCACCCAAATCATATATATTTCCTTTCTACCACTGCTGAGAGGAACACACTATTCATAGAACACATGGTAAGGAGGTAGTCTGTTAAAAAATGTTTAACAGTTGGCTCTCTCATGGACAGGGGGAGCCTGATCTGCAGTATTTGCTGGTTTCTGTGATATAAATATTCCCCAAATAGCCAGTTCCAAACCACAACCACAACATCACTAAATGAGGGATGAGAAAGAAATGAG